GAAGGAAGGAAGGAAGGAAGGAAGGAAGGAAGGAAGGAAGGAAGGAAGGAAGGAAGGAAGGAAGGCAGACCACTAACTCTTTCCTCCACAGAAGGAAACACCCTCAGGCACAATCGTCTTGCACCCCTCAAGCTCCTTGGCCCGTAGTAAGTGCTTCACAAACATGCCTTGATCAATTAATTCCTTCATTGACTGACTGATTAAGGACAGCCTGCCCTCTTAACCCCAGTATCACAACTGCTTCCTTCCTCCTTTGCCTTCTGAAACCCCCTCTCACTGTGACAGTCAAGTTCTTCTGAGGACATGAAGAAATAATGCCCATAAACACATCTGGCACAAGGCCTGTTAAAAACACATCCCATCCCCCCTCCTCCAGCTTTGTGAGAAATTCTTGTTTCTTTCATTTCACAGACACTGGCAAACTCAACCTGAAGCCTAGCCCTGATCTCATCAAGCACTATACATGGGTTTTTTCCCTTCTGTTTGAGTTTTTTTTATTTTTATTTCTTATTGATTTGCATACAAGTAATAACCGTGGCAAAGACAGACACGGAGTCATGGGAGTATGTTGCAATCTGAACTCTGAAAGCCAAGTTCACTCCCTGACTCGGGAATAAGCTAGACTCATTAGATGAAACACACCACGTCCCAGGTGTCCCAGCCGACCGGGGCAGGTGCTCTTGGGTTCCAGAAGTCTGTGCCTTCTAAAAGTGTCCACCCGGCCCACACTGTCCAGACCCACGCGGAGAACTCACCAAGGCAGAAGAAGACCAACAGGAGTAGAGCCATGGCTCCCCAGCCCCGTCCCGAGCTCTGTGGTCCCAGGAAAGAGGAGAGGAGGAGGCCCCGGTCCAGAGGCAGGATGTGATACGGATGAAGGACACACTCCTCCCATCACCCCCTCAGCCTGCCTTGTCCTGATGCCGCCCCATCAAGCTGGAACCATCTCCTCCGTAGAATGACTTGCTCACAAACCCCCCGCGTGGCTCACTTATCTCTTTGCACCGCCTGTGGTTGTGTCCCGAAGTGTCCATAAACTCTCTGACATCAGCCCTGGCTTCTTTGGGGTTTTTCTTTTTTCCCTTTTATTAAAAATTATGGCTATCACAAGAGTCCACAATTAAGGTTGCATAGTGGAATGTA